AAGCTGAAGATGCAACAATGAACACCACAGTCTCTGTCCTACAAAAAAATTCCAGTGCTCAGCCAGGAGCAGTGGCTCACACCTACAATCCCAGCGCTTTGAGAGGTCAAGGCAGGAGGATTGCTTGAGACCAGGAGTTGAAGACCAGCCTGAGCAACATAGCGAGACCCTATAGCTCTACACGCGAGTGCACACACATGCACAAATTAGCTAACCGTGGTGGCACACACTAGTTAATCATCTATTCCTAGATACTCAGGAGGCTGAGGTGGAAGGATTGCTTAAGGACTGCTTTAGCCCTGGAAGTTCGAGGTTACAGTGAGCTATTGTCAAGTCACTGCATTCCAGCCTGGGTGACACAGCGAGAAAACACAACAGTACAGGATTATCCAACCAGCAGATGAAACATGTATTTAGGGCACACATAACACAAACTCAGAGAGAAAACATTTAGAAAAAGGGTAAGATTTCAAACGTAATAATTAAAAATCTATTTCACCTTAGTTTTTTGTTTTGTTTTGCTTTTGAGACAGTCTCGCCAGGCTGGAGTGCAGTGGTACGATCTCGGCTCACTGCAACCTCCACCTCCTGGGTTCAAGTGATTCTTCTGCCTCAGCCTCCCTAGTAGCTGGGATTATAGGCACCTGCCATCACACCCAGCTAATTTTCATATTTTTAGTGGAGATGGGATTTCACCATATTGGCCAGGCCAGTCTTGATCTCCTGACCTCGTGGTCCACCCTCCTCTGCCTCCCAAAGTGCTGGGATTACAGGCATGAGCCACTGTACCCGGCCTAGTCTTTTATTTTTATTTATATTTGGGAAGAGACTTCCATGATTTTCTCAGTGCCCAAGGTTTCTGAAGGTCTTCATCTAGTCCTGCTAGCCTAGTAGGAAAAATAATAATAATATTCTCCTAAAAATTTGATTCCTCTTTTGTTTTCTCTGATATGTATTCAGATATCCAAGAAACAAATCTGGGAGCTGTCCCCAACTTCTTCTTCCCAATCTTCCACACCCAGTCATCTTTGTCCAATCTTTGTATTGGACAAAGATGACTAATGCCTAAATGAGAAGAATGGCCTGATGGGACAGAATGGGGTATATAACTGGAGACCAGCTAGAAAGCCGTAATACAACTGGCGATCATGAAATCTGAATTGAAGTGTAGTAGAGGAGACTGAAAGATGTGGAAAAAAAGACATGAAAAGAGGGCTATCTATGAAACTTGGAAAGTAAACATGTGAGATAAAGAGGGAGTTACTGAGGAAAGTTCCCTTATTTTTGGCTTGAAAACCAGTTAGACGGTGGTGCTATTCATTAAGAGAACAAGGCTCAGAGAAATTAAATAACTTGTAACTTAGTAAGGTAGCTTACATGTAGTGGGGCTAAAATTGAAATGGAAAGTTCATATTGTTTCAAATCTCAGAGTGTAAGTAGGGATTTATAATTCTCTTATCATCTTTTACAATGCCTAGATTGGTATTAAACGTGTATGTAAAGAACAGTATTGGGGCCAGACGCAGTGGCTCATGCCTATAATCTCAGCACTTTGGGAGGCCAAGGTGGGCAGATCACGAGGCTGATATCTAGACCATCCTGGCCAACATGGTGAAATCCCGCCTCTACTAAAAATAGAGAAATTAGCTGGGCGTGGTGGCGTGCCCCTGCAGTCCCAGCTACTCAGGAGGCTGAGACAGGAGGCAGAGGTTGCAGTGAGCCAAGATTGTGCCACTGCATTCTAGTCTGGTGAGAGACAGAGACTCTGTCTCAAAAAAATCAAAACAAAAAAACAGTATTGGGCCAGGTACAGTTGCTCACACCTGTAATCCCAGCAGTTTGGGAAGCAGAGGTGGGTGGATCACCTGAGATCAGGAGTTCAAGACCAACCTGGCCAAAAAGGTAAAACCCCATCTCTACTAAAAAATATAAAAATTAGCTGGGCCTAGTGGTGCATGTGTAAACCCAGCTACTCGGGAGGCTGAGGGAGGAGTATCACTTGAACCCAGGAGGTGAAGGTTGCCATGAGCTGGGATCGTGCCACTTCACACTAGCCCTGGTGACAGAGTAAGACTCCATCTCAAAAAATAAATAAACAAATGAATAAAAATGAAGAATAGTATTGGCTGAGAATGGTGGCTCATGCCTGTAATCCCAACACTTTGGGAGGCTGAAGCAGGAGGACTGCTTTGAGCCCTGGAGTTTGAGACCCAGCCTGGGCAAGAAAGTCAGACCCTGATTCTTTCTTTCTTTTTTTTTTTTAAGGTGGGGTTTTGCCATGTTGCCCAGGCTGGTCTCAAACTCCTGAGCTCAGGCAATCCACCCACCTCAACCTCCCAAAGTGTTAGGATTACAGGCATGAGCCACTGCGCCTGGCTGAGACCCTGTCTCTACAAAACAAAACCCCAAAGCAACAACAGTATTATTATTACTAATTCTGCTAATAACGTAAGAACAAGCCTAGCTCCCATTCACCTTTCACAGAAAGTTACTTGAAGATGTACCACAACATCAAGTATAAACTGGAAACAAAATTATGGGTGCAAGAGAATAGTAAAATTAAATCCCAGGACAAAAGTCTTGCTATTGTACCAGAGACCGGAGGAGGTCACTGAGCTTTGGGAGAGCAGTCCTCACAGGGAATACTTGGAAATCTAAAAATTAGATAGTGCAACTGGGAGCTTAGAGAATTTGGGAATATGACAAAGAAAACTAGTAGAATCAAGAAAAGATGTTATCTTGATTTGTCTCTGGCACTGTTCTTTTTTTTTTTCCCCGAGACGGAGTTTCGCTCTTGTTACCCAGGGGGAGTGCAATGGCGCGATATCGGCCCACCGCAACCTCCGCCTCCTGGGTTCAGGCAATTCTCCTACCTCAGCCTCCTGAGTAGCTGGGATTACAGGCACACACCACCATGCCCAGCTAATGTTTTGTATTTTTAGTAGAGATGGGGTTTCACCATGCTGACCAGGATGGTCTCGATCTCTTGACCTCGTGAACCACCCGCCTCGGCCTCCCAAAGTGCTGGGATTACAGGCATGAGCCACCGCGCCTGGCCCTTTTGGCACTGTTCTTAAACAAGGGGTATAGTGTCATGACATCACTACCTTAGAAAAGGAACTGGATCCTACCAGTCCATGGGTGTAAACATTTACACAGAAATAACTGCTTATTAGTTAATATATTTCATTGATTCTAAGACTTATTTTTTCCTATTTTAACATCTCTGAATGGGATTCATCTGACAATCAATGTTGTGTCATGGTTTAATTAGTTGTTTTTTCCTTTTAGGTAGTAGATAAAATAATGATGCATCTTACAATGAATAGCACGTTGAATCTGATGAATCATGTGTACCAAGGACTGCTTGAAATGCTTCCACAATCTTCCTAACAGTTTTATGCAGTTCATGTTACCACCATTTCTGAGGCTCAAAGATGCTAAACAATAGGTTCTAGGACTGCTGTCAAGCAAGTGGCAGAGCCAGAATTGAAAATCAGGTCTGATTTCTAAGGTCATGCTCTTATCATTACCTCAGCATTTACCTTGGGTGATACAAAGGTGAATAAAAACCTATCGTTGTCCGAACAGCTCAAATCAAGGTTTAGCTCATGTGATCTTTCTGAAACCTTTCCAACTACCCAGGAAGAAAAAATCTTGTTCTCATCTATACCCTGTCAACATTTTAAAAATACCTCTATAATAACTTATTATATTGTGTAATCTCCCTGGGGCCTTGGAAGTCAGGAATATTCTCTTAACCATCCTTTTGACCCTACCTTACCGACCACTGTTCTTGACATATAGTAGAAGCTCAATAATGTTTCTTAAAAAGGAGACAGGGTCTCTGCTGCTAAGTGTAGAAGACAAGAAATGCACATAAAGCTAAAAAAGGTCAAAAGTAGTGTTGAGGAGAATTATAAATGTAAGTGCAGTAGAGTTTAAAAAACTAATGATAGAAAGTACAAGAGGATACAGCTCAGCCAGCTTCCAGGTTTTCATACACATACACACCAGTCTGAAAAAGCTGAAAACGTCTACAATGGCTGAAATCACGCTTCTAAGGCATTTTTGAATTTTAATAAGTTACTAGCATTTATAAATTTAAATTTCACATAAAACCCATGGTATATGGATTTTCCCGAGAAACGAAGACAAATCACAAACTGGATGCTCATTCTCCTAGAGAAATGGGTTGGATTTGAGTATCAAATTCTCTTTTCAGATGAACTTAATGCTCCCTTATCCATCACACTACCTTCCACCATTTTTTCAGGCTCAGCTTGCATAAGGTAATTTATATCTCTCTCCAGTCTAGGCATCTAGGTTTATGACTCCTTCTCTAAACACATTATTCACTGCTCTATCACATGATGAATTTTCAGGCATCCGTGTCTTTCAACTTCCATTTTGAAAATCCTTTGCTTTTTCCAAAAGCACTCCTACTCCTCCAGGGCACTGCTTCAATTCCTTTCATTAGCTGCTTCTGAGCACCCTCTCAACCGTGTCACGCAGCACTGTGGTGTAATACCTCTATTAAAACCCTTAACAGAGCGTATGCACAAGCTTCTCTCCTTCGCGCTGGCATTCGCTCCTTGACGCCAGCGGCCCACAATTCATTCATTTCGCAGCCCCAGCTTCGAGTCCATGGCCTGGCACCTACACCCAGGCATTCAGTACTTTTGCGGTTCTTACTTCACGGCAAACGCAAGCTGAATTAATACTACGACCAAAGAAGTGGAACTGAGGTGGGTGCCAAGACTATCCCAATAACTGGTTCTCGCCGAGAAAAAGACGCGCGCCAGCATCCCAATCGGCAAAAACTACAGGGCAAGTTAGCCCCCGCCACGGTCCTGCTCTGGGGCTCAAATTCCAATTCTCGCGAGATTCAGCCTGAGAACTAGCCCTTCAGCTCCAGTGATTTGCGGGTTGGTTTCCTCTAGATTCTCTTGGTCAAACAGTTTTCCGACGCGAGCCCTTCCGGGGCTGTGCCCCGGAAGGGGAAGTGCGATCTTCGGGCTGTCAGAGTTGGTGTGTTACTCGGTGGTGGCGGAGTCTACGGAAGCCGTTTCCCCTTCACTTTCCCTGGCTCTAGAGCGCTTTCCACCTGGCGGGTGGGAGTGCAGGGACGAAGGTGCGAGATGAGCACCATGTTCGCGGACACGCTCCTCATCGTGTTTATCTCTGTGTGCACGGCTCTGCTCGCCGAGGGTGAGAGCGGCTATTTCTCAGACGTTTGATCAGTCCCCGGGAGGGAGGGCCCCGGGGTCCCGCATTGGGGAAAGATCGCGAGCCTTACTTGCTTGGGAGGCTAATATACTTCACTCCAGGGAATCTCTGGACAACTCGTGAACGGGAGCAGGAGGGGAATATGGAGTCTATTGGTGCGTTTTCTTTGGTCTTAGGTAGATTTCACTTGCTTATTTGTGGAGACACCTTCACATCAAGTTACAGTTGTTTTGGCTTAAGAGTCAGTTGTATTGGCCTTTGAAAAAAGTTAACTATGGGTAAATACAAAGTGAAAAGTTGGAATTCCTCTTTCTCCAACAGTAACAGCTAATAATAGGTTGTTGTGATCGTTCCAGTCATTTATTAACATGTTGCTTTTAATGTTTTAGGCATAACCTGGGTCCTGGTTTACAGGACAGACAAGTACAAGAGACTGAAGGCAGAAGTGGAAAAACAAAGTAAAAAATGTGAGTATGGCAACACATTAGAAATAGTTTCAACACGTCAAGCTCATTAAGTCCATGTTCACAGTAAATATTTTAAGAGCACCAACTGATACAGAGATGAATCTGACTTGAATCCTATTTAGAAATAGAAGACTTGGCCGGGCGCGGTGGCTCAAGCCTGTAATCCCAGCACTTTGGGAGGCCGAGGCGGGACTTTTATGCAAAATATGTAATACCAACTAGAGGGAAGTTAGGGATGTGGCAGATGTATGTTATGTGCTGTGGTGGTTCTAAAGAAGAGGGTCAGCCTGGCGCAGTGGCTTACTCCCGTAATCCCAGCACTTTGGAAGGCTGAGGCAGGATTAAGCCTAGGCGTTTAAGACCAGCCTGGGCAACATAGGGAGACCTTGTCTCTACAGAAAAATTTAGCTGAGTATAGTGGTACACACCTATATACCCAGCTATTTGGGAGACTGAGGCATAAGGATCCCTTGAGCCCAGGAGGTTGAGGCCACAGTGGGCCATGATGGTGTCACTGCACTGCCTCCTCAGCAACAGAGTAAGACTTGTCTTTAAAAAAAAACAGAAGAGGTTTCATTCAGTTGTGAGGAACCATGGTAACCTTCATAATCCTGATGGCCTTGCAGTTCCTTGTGGATATTCACAATTTGGATAGAGAATTAAATGGGGAAAGGAAATTCCAGGTAAAGGAAATAACATATGAGCAAAAATATGGAAATCTTAACATTTCGGGCATGTTTGGAGGATGGTAGGTCATTATGACTGGTGTCAAGGTAAGTGGTGTCTTCAGAGATAAGCCAAGTTTCAGTTGGGTTAGGAAGTTGAAGAGGTGTTTGAGGAGAATATTAAAAACAAGCAGGGTTTGTGACCTTTGAAATAAAGCAGGAATTTCACAGGACTCAGCTAATGTACAAGGTGAATGGTTCCTTATAGGCCTGATTTAGCTTCTCTCTTCTTTTCTTTTCTTTCTTTCTTTTTTTTTTTTTTTTTTGAGACGGAGTTTCGCTCTTGTTACCCAGGCTGGAGTGCAATGGTGCGATCTCAGCTCACCGCAACCTCAGCCTCCTGGGTTCAGGCAATTCTCCTGCCTCAGCCTCCTGAGTAGCTGGGATTACAGGCACACGCCACCATGCCCAGCTAATTTTTTGTATTTTTAGTAGAGACGGGGTTTCACCATGTTGACCAGGATGGTCTCGATCTCTTGACCTCGTGATACACCCGCCTCGGCCTCCCAAAGTGCTGGGATTACAGGCTTGAGCCACCGCGCCTGGCTCTTTTCTTCCTTTATAAGGATTAAATATAACTTTTGTTTCTTAGGATTCCTACAACTTTCTGTATTCTGTGACTTTTTCTTACATCTTCATAAGGATTTGAAGTTTGTTTCCTAAATTACCACATTTGATCCACACAGCAACCATTTGTGGTCACTCGTATAAATATTACCTCCATGTCATAGGAAGGAAAATTGAACCTCAGAATGGTAATGACACTTACATCACAGAGCAAACAAAGAATCAAAGACGAGACTTTTAAAATTACAGCTTACTGTTCCTTCATTTACTCAGTGTTGATTATGTACCTCAACATATTTGAGCCAAATTCATTATCTTTACCTTCACAAACATGATCTTCTTCCAGGATTTCCCTATCTCGGTGATGGGTACCTCCATGCTTTCAGTTGTATAAGCCAGAAACCTTGATATACTTTCTTTTTTTTTTTCTTTTTTTTTTTTTTGAGACGGAGTTTCGCTCTTGTTACCCAGGCTGGAGTGCAATGGCACGATCTCGGCTCACCGCAACCTCCGCCTCCTGGGTTCAGGCAATTCTCCTGCTTCAGCCTCCTGAGTAGCTGGGATTACAGGCATGAGCCACCATGCCCAGCTAATTTTTTGTATTTTTAGTAGAGACGGGGTTTCACTATGTTGACCAGGATGGTCTCGATCTCTCGACCTTGTGATCCACCCGCCTCGGCCTCCCAAAGTGCTGGGATTACAGGCTTGAGCCACCGCGCCCGGCGCGATATACTTTCTTAATTTGACTTCTAGGACACCATACTCTTGATTTTGCTGCTCTCTATCTTCCTGGTCATCACTTTTTAAATTTTTTACTTTTTAATTTAATTTAATTTTTTTTTTTTTTGAGACAGGATCTCACTCTGTCACTCACAGCTCACTGCAGCCTGGACCTCCCAGGCTAAAATGATCTTCCTGCCTCAGACTCCTGAGTAGCTGGGACTACAGACACACGCCACCGTGACTGGCTAATTTTTTGGAGAGATGAGGTCTTGCTATGTTGCCAGGGCTGGTCTCAAACTCCTGGGCTCAAGCCATCCTCCTGGCTTGGCCTCCCAGTACTGGGATTACAGGCCTGGGCCACAGTGCCCAGCCCTTACTGATCTTTCTTTTTTTCTTTTTCTTCCCGAGTAGCTGGGACTACAGGCGTGTGCCACCATGCCCAGCTAATTTTTGTATTTTTAGTAGAGATGGGGTTTCACTATGTTGACCAGGATGGTCTCAATCTCTTGACCTCATGATCCACCCACCTCGGCCTCCAAAAGTGCTGGGATTATAGGCGTGAGCCACCGCGCCCAGTTCTTTCTTCTTCAGTTTACTTGTTGGTTTCATTTCTTGACCTCCTGTTGTTGGAGGTGACACAAAATTTAGTTTTTTTCTCTACATTTACTTCCTTGGTGAACTTATCTTTTGGCTGTATTGGCCAGTGACTCTCAAATTTATGTCTCTAGCCCTCTCTCCTTAACGCAAGATTAATATATCCAAGCATCAATTTGTTATCTCAGCTAGAATGTTTAGTGGAATCCCAATCCCAACACATCCCAAATTGAATACTTGTTCCTCATGTCTAATCCTGTTTCATTTTGTAGCCTTCTTTATCTTGGTCAATGGCATTTCTGTCTTTCCAGTTGCTCAAGCCATAATCCTTGTGTAGTTATCTTTGACTCTTCTTACAATGCACATCTGGTCTGTCAGCAAATACTATTGGGCTTCCTTTTTGGGGAAGCACTTTGAACCAGTAAAGGTTCAGAGAGCTTCTGATATCCAGAATCTGACCACTTTTCATCACCTCCAGTGTTAACCACTGTGGTCTTAACACCGTGATTTTTTGCATGGATTTTTACAATAGTCTCCAACAAGCATTCCTATCTCCCTGTAGTCTGTTCTCGAGATGACGGCCAGAATAGTCTTTTTGAAAGCCTATCAGATCATGTCTCCTTCACTCATCGGAAAAGCCAGCATCCTTACAATGGCCTACAGAGCTTCCTTTTTACCACTATGATATTCTTTCCTTCTCACTTACCTTGCTCCACCCACACTGTCCAGCTTGCTGTTCTTTACACATACTAGCCATACTCTTGTGCTGGGACCTTTCTAGTGGTGGTTCCTTCTGCTTAAAAATGTTCTTCCCAGGCCGGGCGCGGTGGCTCAAGCCTGTAATCCCAGCACTTTGGGAGGCCGAGGCGGGTGGATCACGAGGTCAAGAGATCGAGACCATTCTGGTCAACATAGTGAAACCCCGTCTCTACTAAAAATACAAAAATTAGCTGGGCATGGTGGCGTGTGCCTGTAATCCCAGCTACTCAGGAGGCTGAGGCAGGAGAATTGCCTGAACCCAGGAGGCGGAGGTTGCGGTGAGCCGAGATCGCGCCATTGCACTCCAGCCTGGGTAACAAGAGCGAAACTCCGTCTCAATAAAAAAAAAAAAAAAAAAAAAAAATGTTCTTCCCTACAATATGTGCTGGCTAATCCTATTACCTTCTTCAAATCTTTGTTCCAATATCACCTCTGACACTAAGTTGACTACTCATTTAAAACTACAACCTGCAAATCTCCCCTACTCCTAATACTCGTTACCCTGTTCTACTTTTTTCCTTTTGCTTTTATTACTTTCTAACATACTAAATGATTTAATTATTTATCATGTTATTATTATTTCTAGGTAGGAATAATGTTAGCTAGAATGAAAACCACTAGGACAACGTTCTTTGTTGTTGTTTACTTATGTATCTCATTTACCTAGAACACTGACTGGCCATAGTAAGTGTTTAATAAACATGTGTTGCCTTGAATGCTTTATTCTTTTGCCCTATATATGCAGTCCGTTACCAAGCCCTATTGTTGTTTTCCTGAATAGTTTTCAGATCATTTCACATGTCTTCATTTCTCCCACCACCACCTAGTCTAAACTTCTATGTTTCATTTAATCTGCTGCAGTAACCTCCTCTCTGGTCCACCTGCAGCCACTCAAATTTGTCTCCTATAATGCATCTAGGGTAATTTTTAAAGCACAAATCTAATTATGTTACTTGCCTTCCTTAAAACCTTTCAATTTCTTCAGGATAAACATGTGGCCTATAAGGTCCGGTACGATACAGCACCACCCTCCCTTCTCCTGGCTATGTCTTGTATCATGTTCTCTCTTGCTCCCTAGTCTTTAGTCATTCGTGCCTTTTTTCTTTCCTTTGGGCTAGTCTTATGGTTTCCTACTACAGGTACTTTGTATCTGTTGTTCCTCCTACCTGAAATAATTTTCCCTTCTCATTTTGTTTAGTAAACTCCTACTCATTCTTCAGATCTCAAAGCCTTATCCAGTCTCCCAGAAAGGACCGTATCTTCCTATCATAGTTTATGATTTGTCCACATACCTCTCCTTAGAGCACTTGTCACAATTGCAATTTTACCTATATATGATTATGATCATCAGAGTAATGTCTCTTCTCAACAAAACTGTAATTTCTATGAGGACAAAGGCCATTGTATCCACAATACCCATGCAGTACCTGGCACATATTAGATACTTGATAAATGGGTATTGAATAAATTATGTAGCATAACATCATATATATTCTCAGTGAAAAATTGTTCTACTATGATCTAATGCTAATTGGCAGCATGCAATGGCATCCCTGTATATATTTCTTCATGTCACTTATATCATTGATTAGTTATTTGAAATACAAAACAAATTTAGCTTCAAATTTGTTT